TGAGGGTGTTACATGAGGATTCCTTGATCTCGGGTCAGGTCAGTTGGACAAAAAAACCCGACCCATACACATCCCTAAATACAAAATTCTTAGAGTAATATTACAATAAAATAATCTTATTCCCAAATATAAGAGTAATATTACAATACAGTAATCTTATTCTCAAATATAATCTTACATTATGTTAATCAAATGTTCCCTTGTTATTAAGTTTGATTTTTAATATTATTATTACATGATAATTTTAATAATTGTTATTTATAAATGTTACTATAAAAGTTATTGCTACTTTTTTTGAAGTAATGTAAATCTATTATTAATAAATATGATTTATATAATTGTATTTTATAAATTATTTATTTTTTATGAATTTAGTCATGTTAAATATAAAATAAAATATGTCAATAATTAGTTAGTTTTGTAACATCCTCAATACCGGGTTAGTGACTAAATTGTAAAACTTCAGAATTTGGTGACTAAAGCAAAATAATTAAATAGTATTATAATTTGGTATAGGGTTAAATTGAAATGAATATGGAATTTAAGGATAGAATAGTCATTTGCATGGAAAATAATTAAAGAAGAGATATATATTAGCTATACGTGGAAGAGAATGAAGCAAAACACAAGGTTCCAAAGTTCTCTTCTTTCTCCACACGTGAAGGGGTCAAAACAAAGGTGAGATTTCTCATGAGCTAATTGTTTGCTGAAATTTAAGTTTTGTTTTGATCATTAGATGATAATTAAGCTTAAGGAAAGCTTAATTTATCTTAAAATAACAAGATGAAGAATGTAGAAAGAATTAAAGGTTAGGAGTTCTTGAATGAAATTTTGAAATAAAGTTCATAATGAGAATTGGAAGTTGAATTTAACTTGTCACGAACTTGATTAAGGAATATGAAATGTTAGAATTAGCTTTAGAACATGTTGGAATTTGAATGAGATTCTTGAATTTTATGTGGAGTATTGAATTTTAAAGTTTAAGAGATATTGAATGGGTATAAATTAGTTTAAGTAGGTGTATGCAAGTTAGGGATATTAAAGGAGGTGAAAGATGAAGAGTTGAGATGAAAAGAGAATGAATTTCGTGCTTAAAATGGAATTTATGGGTTATGTGCATCGATGCATCTTCAATATGAATCGATGCACTCTCAAATAAATGAACATCGAATGTAATTAGTGTATCGATGCACTCCTCATGCATCGATGCACCCCTCATGCATCGATGCACCCCCTTAAGATTAAAACATCGAAGGTGATTTGTGTACCGATGCACAGGTAGTGCATCGATGCACACGTTAAAGAATGCATCGATACACTGTAGAGTGCATCAATGCATACCTTCATTAAAAGATGAAAATATCTTTCTTTTTAGCCTAAGAAGTGATAGTTTAAAATATATCAATTAGTATATTGATATGTACCAATGTATTACTATGTAGATATAGAACGTAATCTTGTTCCGGAACAATCGAAGGATTAGAATCGAGTCAAAGCAAGGCTAAGGTGAGTGCATATCTTATATAAAATTGTATTGAGATAAGACTTGCGATGAGTCTATCTCTTATAGTTAAACTTATGATTTCACATTCATGTACATGCATATTTATATATGTATTAATGATATAGTGCTTTCATGCATAATTCATTCATGCTTTAATATGAACTTATTTGAATGAATGCAATTATATGAGAATCCATTCAGGTATGGGAAATAATGAAAATGATCATGTGCACTCATATGAAGTGAATTATGTGTTTATGTGAAAAGTGATAGAAGATATATGAAAATGAGAATTGTATTATAATTAAGCCCATGTTACTTAATGTGAGAGCTGTATGTATAATTGGCATGCCAAGAGTCGAGGGATTATCAGTGGTCCTTCGGGACATAGTGGTCATTCGGGACAAATATTCAGTGCCCCTAGTGGGATTTTATTCGAGTTGTGGTGACAACATTGTGCACAACCTCAGTGTACTCGCATACCTTATGTTCTCAATAACGTACATGGGTGATCCAAAGATAAATTAAAATGAAACTAGTATAAGAATACAAATTTTATATATGTGCATGTTATCATCATATATGTTATAGTGTAATAGGTACATGCAAGTTGAAATGTCATGATCAATGGTAAGAATGCATGATCATGAATTCATTATTATATATGTATATACGTATATTTATGTTATGTCTCACTAAGTCTATGACTTAGCGTGTAAGTGATTTACTCATAGGTACCAAGAATCGGGAAGAACAGAAATAGGAGTGGCAAGAACAACAGATCAGAAGTAACTAATAAAGTATGTATGTTGATTTTGTATAGTATGTATGTTGATTTTGTATAGTATGTTGGCATATAAGGAAAGGTGTTAGTTATGAATGCTCTGGTCGATTTTGTTTATTTTGGTCAAATTATGTAAATAAACTACTTTATTTTAATGAAAGTTTTAAATTTCCTTAAATTCTGTCAAGAGTCAAAGTTTAAAAAAGTTAATGTGACACCTCATATTTGTATTCGGGTCGGGTACGGATTGAGGGTGTTACAAGTTTAGTGTGATAAGATATTAGATCTCTTAAACATTGTCAGAAGTTAAAATATTGACATTTGCGAATATAGTAAATTGAGTTGGAAGAGTCACATTCATAATAAATCTCTATAAAATCTGATATAGAATAATCAATTAACAGAACATATATAAGTGATTAAATTAAAAATATGCATATTTAATAAAATATAAAAGGAAAATCAAATTAAGAAATGTAGTTAATTAATTTATTTTTGAATTTGCACAAACACAATCATATTTAAGGTTAAATATATGTATAACCCTGAATTTCCAAATGTCTCCAAGTGAGCTTCTGCCATCTTCTTTTTCTTAACTCCTTTTAAATAGTAATATTTGTACGGCTGGTGCAAGGTCGCTCTATATTATCTAACCTATCATGTTTGTGGTTACCCTAATGATTTGATGGTTCTTACAAGGTTAAATCTTTATCATATAAAACTGGAGAAGTTTTACAGTACTATACTTAATATATGGTTAAAAGAAGATACTATCGATTTTGTCATTGTTTAAATAATAAAATTGATAAAAAAAATGATTGAAATTATTATTATTTTTCACTTAAAACATCATTTTTTTAACATTTTCGATAAAATTGTCCAACAATAATAAAACTGGTAGCGCCTAATAATGTTTCTAGTCATTTTACCAAATCCGGTTAACAAAATAGGTAGCGTCTAATAATGTTTTTGGTCATTTTTACCGGTTTTGTTATTGTTACAATAACAAAACCGGTAACATCTTTTTTTAGTCGTATATTAAGGTTGCTTCACAAAAAAAAAAGAATAAAATGTATGAGAACTACGAGAGAATAATGTATTGCTTTCTTAATATGAATTGTGAAGTATGTAGAGAGACTTCTCCTACCTATATATTTATAATCATAAATAGTAAATATCATATATAACTCTAATATTAAAAAATATTAATTTTCTGATAATGAAATATATCAAAATTTTATCTTATACATAAAAGTTGACGTCTACGTACATTAATATTTATAAAATGATTGAAACTTTTAGACAATGTTAGGGTTTTTCCGTCACTCTTTATTAGGTCAAAATATAAGTAAAATTTGATGCTAAATAATTAAACCAACTTCTATCTTAATAAAATAATGTTAACTTAAAATGTCACATTTGTATAAAAATTATATTAAATATTATTTAATATATCAATTAAATTAATAAAATATTAAAATATAAAAGTTAGATAGAGTTTAAATGAAAAAGCTCTATAAGTTTTTTATACGAGTATTTTCTAATTGGACGATGATGTCATGTTTGACGAGCATTGATGAATACCATTAATGATGATGATTATTAAATTAATTTATAAAACATTAAATTATAAAGTATCAAATGTATAATTATAAATTAGTTAAAAATCTAAATGTAATTTAATTTAAAAACAATATTTATAATTAGTTTTTAGGGTAAACTATATCATTGACCACTTAACTATTTATCCTTTTACTTTAACCATCAATTTTTAATTTTGTCAATTGTGTCACCTAACTATTTAAATCTTGTCAATCAAGCCACATGCCGTTAAATATTAACGGAGGAGATGACATGGCGGCTAATAAAAATTTTAATTAATGTTTTATTAATATTATGTTTTAATTAAATTACATTTAAATTTTTAACTAATTTATAATTATATGTTTAGTACTTTATAATTTAATATTTTATAAATTAATTTAACGATGCTCATCGTTAATGGTGCTCATCTACACTCGACGAGCATCGTAGAATTTTCTTTCTATAATTTGATGTTGAATGCTAATTTTATTAATAACCAATTTATTACAATGATAACTTAGTAAAGGGTATTACTAGTTAATTTTTCATTCCACCAATAAAATAATAATTTTGTATTTCGGTCACATTGATCAAATAAAATAAAATAATATTCTTGTTAATGTGTTAAACAATGTTATATTTTAATAATAAAAAATTAAAACTAATGTTACATCTCGTAGAAAGTACTATTAGTTAAGTGCTCATTCCATCAACGAAAAACAAATCTTATACTTCGATCACATGATTAGTATGAAACAGAACACAAAGATTGGAGTGTTAATTGTCATTGTCCAACGAGGGTCATGTTTAGTGAAGGATTTTTCCATTTCTTATCTGGAGGTAAAAATTGGTTGTTGGTGAGCCAAAAGTTTTCTTCTTCCAACGATCAAAAGCTCAAGACACAGACGTGGAAGTAAATATGGTTTTGGAATTAGGTTTGAATAAAGACCTCTAATCACACGCAATTAATTTCAGATAAGAAGTTTCTACTTTAGTGATTTCAAATCTGTTTACTTTTTCCTGTTCAACATAATGAAGTGAGCGGCCAGTATTTCGCTTCCTGTTTTCTGTAGCTTGTGGTAGACAAATAGAAGGGACACTGATTGGGATGATATTTGTCTTCATTTGTCGGCAGATTCCACAATTCAAACTTCATTTAATCAATCAAATCGGAATATATAACATTCTTGTGCTCTCTGTTATCTTAGCAAGCACGTGCAGATGATTCAATTGTGCATCATTGGAGAAAACGAAGGAGATCGATCATACTAAAGGTTAGTAGATGCCATTTGAATTTCATAGCTCAGATTAGATCAAACACGTTAAGTTTAATGTATTTGCAAGCATTGATAGATCCGAGACAGGTTCCGAACTTACCTTGGGGTAGTAATCGCTGTAGCAAATTTGCATCGGATCTCTCGTCTTAACACCAAAGTCAAAGAGTTCTTACTTGTAAACTGTTCTTCTTATACTTTTAGCAGGAAACTGAGAAATTCAAAATAAATTGCGAAAATTCCCACCTAAAGCGACGCCAAAAATTTTCACAAACAAAGAGTAAGGCCATTTCGGTAAACTAACGCAGCTTTTCCCGCCTAAAAATCACAACTGCTAAATCCCTAAAAAATCTAGCGAAGAATGGCTTAGAAAGATTTGTGTATCCCATATTCGAAAAGAAAGCACGAAAGGGACGCATTCCCATCTCTTTCTCTCTCGATATGTTTCCATGACTTCACTGCAATGACACAAACCCTTTATTCCCGGACTCGGAGCCCGGAAATCGAAAAGGAAATTGCCGGAGGAGGAGGTGGAGCTGCCATGAGAGTGATAGTTCCTCTACAAGGTGTTGTTCAAGGACGAGGGGGTTTAGTTTTAGGCTCCATAATCCCTTGCGCGCTCTTTTACTTCCTCCAATTCTATTTGAAGCGAAACCGTAAAGACACGGATGACCAGAACAACTCAAATTCCTCGGGTCAAAACCCAAACCCCCGTTCGTCGTCGTACGGGAAGTTATCGGAGCTTCCTGGGCTGACACGTAGCTTGTCTCGGGGTTTGCCATCGCCGCGTAGTCTGCGTGGACCCGTCTTTGTTTCGGGTCGGGTTAGAGGGATTGTAAAGGATTCGGATTCACCGTATTACGTGGGACTGAGGCGGGCTAAGGAGGATCCATATGATGAACTGAGTAATCCAAATGGGGTTATCCAGCTGGGTTTAGCAGAAAACAAGGTAGGCTCGTTTTACCTTTTTTTAAAAAAAATAATTTTTAATATGCTTTATATTGTTTTAATATATCTATTTTTTTTCAGTTGTCTTTGGATCTGGTTAAGCACTGGCTAGCAGACAATGCGGAGCAAGCCATATTGAGAAACGGGAAAGAGCTGAGCATTAGCCAGATTGTCCCTTATCAGCCTTTTGATGGATCGATGGAGTTCAAAGTGGTAAACTTTGTGAAATTATGTTCAACTTATCTGTTTTCTTTTTTACTTTAGTTTAATGCTATCACTCTATTCAATATCACACTTTCAGTTTATTGAGTTAGTTCTCCTTTTAGGGTTTTTTTTTAGCTTTTTATTGTATGAAGAAGTATTTAAACCTCAAATGGTTCAAACGATGCTAGTGAGGGAAAGTCTTACAATCCACATTTAGCCTTTTAGGTGACTTCAAGATGTTTAGGATTTAACTGTTTGGAGATTCAGATACTTAGAGCTATAAGAACTGCTTGCTTATGGCTGTGATTAACGGTTTATAGTGTTAGTTAACAATGGTGGCGCCAAAATTTTAGTAGAGTATAATGTTTGTATTATGAGGAATTCAGTGAGTGTGAGGTCGAAAACACCAAATATATGAATTTTACTATTGGAGGTCTGAGTAGATTGGTGGCAGTCGCTAGACAAGCCGTGCTTGTTTCTTATAGAACTTGAAGATGACTTCTACTTGGGTGTTATATCTTCAATAGAAGAGGGATAAAAAACAATAAAGCATGTAACATGCAATGAGGCCTTGTAATTTCCAGTTCAGTTCACCTCTTAAAATGCGTGCTTTCTCACCACCACTTTATCACGTACTTGGATTGCTTGCTGTCTAGGCTTTTGATGAAAATTGAAAATTTAATTGAATAATTGTATGCCCGTGATCATAAAGTGACCTCTTTTCATTTGGAGAAGAAAAGGAATACAAAAGAGAAGGGAGAAACATATTACCTATTAGTGACAAGTTTTGAGCACATGTTTTCTAGAAGTATTTAAAATTTTCAAGTGATATAATATGCTGAAAGAATACCTTAACAAGTACAAGTTTGTAAAATTTTAAATTTAGTAATGCATTGAAAGTCAAGATGTTCGATATAGTTGGAAGTCCTCTGGTCTAATGATTCCTTCTAGAAATATTTTTTTCTGTCAGTAAATAGTGCCTAAACGCTTGTGTTCCGAATTGTCATTACTTTGCAGGCTGTAGCAGGATTCATGTCTCAAGTCATGGAGAAAGCTGTTTCTTTCAACCCTTCACAGGTAGTGCTGACGGCTGGTGCGACCCCTGCAATTGAGATTCTTAGTTTTTGCTTAGCAGATGCTGGAAATGCATTTCTTGTTCCAACACCATATTACCCTGGGTAATATTTCTCACCATTTTGACTGTTTTCATTCTGGTAAGCAGCTATCCAACAAGGAAACTAATATTTCTAACAAAATCTGCACTCTCCAGGTTTGATAGGGATATAAAATGGCGAACTGGGGTTGAAATAATACATGTTCCTTGCCGAAGTACAGACAACTTCAATTTAAGTATAGCTGCCCTAGATCAAGCATTTGACCAGGCAAAGAAACGCGGACTTAAAGTCCGCGGGATAGTTATATCAAACCCTTCAAACCCTGTTGGCAATCTTATAAGTCGAGGAACACTTTACAGTCTGCTAGATTTCGCCAGAGAGAAAAACATCCATATTATCTCTAATGAACTATTGGCTGGTTCTACTCATGGAAATGAAGAATTTGTGAGCATGGCAGAATTACTTGACCCAGATGATTCTGACCGGAAAAGAGTTCATATAGTGTACGGGTTGTCAAAAGACCTTTCTCTTCCAGGTTTTTGGGTCGGTGTTATCTACTCATATAATGAGGAGGTTTTGGCAGCTGCTAAAAGGTTGGCGAGGTTCTCATCTATTTCAGCTCCAACCCAGTGTTTGCTTGTCTCCATGCTATCTGATGCCAAGTTTGTTCAAACATTAATTACCATCAACAGAGAGAGGCTTCAAAGTATGTATGCTCAGTTCGTGGCCGGGTTGAAAAAGCTGGGCGTCGAGTGCATAAAGAGTAGTGGGGGTTTCTACTGTTGGGCTGATATGAGCGGGTTAATCCGCTCTTACAACAAGAAAGGAGAACTTGAGCTGTGGGATAAGTTGTTGAATATTGCGAAGGTGAATGTAACTCCAGGGTCATCTTGTCATTGTATTGAACCTGGATGGTTCCGCTTCTGTGTTACTACATTGACAGAGAAAGATATCCCTGTAGTCATGGATCGGATTCAGAAAGTTTCTGAAACCTCAAAATTGAATAGATGAAATGCTATTATTTTATTCTATGATTTTGAATAATGTGCAGATTTGTTCTTGATTGGAAGCTCGTATATTCGACACACTATAGTTCGAAAGTCATAGTCAACTGGAAAAGTACCGGTGCATATCCCAGGTTTGTTGAACCCAAGTACAAAACTTTGAGGCATAATGAAAAAAAAATCTTCAAATGTTTGATTAAATAATAATTTAGTCTTTATTCTTTTTGAAACATTTTTACTTTAAACGTTTTATTTTAAGACAAAAAATCTTTCATGAATAAAAATTATTAGTTAATAAATGATCAATGGTCCAAAATAAAAATCTTTTTATCTTAAAGTGAAATATTGGTGGTTAAAATGATCTTAAAAAAGGGATTAAAATGACTATTTAATCAAATCTTAAGAGTTTTTTTGCTCTAAATTATAACATTTCCTCAACTTCCTTCCTTAAAGCCACTACCATGGCTTCTAAGGAATCGCCTCGATCAGTTGCCTTCACATCCAAATCGTTGAGTGAATCCTGAACCTCCTCCCTGATACTCTCCAAGGACTCCAGCTTATCGAGATCCAACGACCCCAGCTTTTCAAGGTCTACGGACTCTAGCACATCCAGCACTACCTTGGCTTCCGTCATGGAACCCTCGAGCCTGGTAACCTTCTCCTGGATGGACGTGAGAACATCTTTCGAGGGTGTTCTCTTCTTTCCAGCATTGCGGGTTTCATTCCCATCAGAACCCGTCGCTTCACCATGTTGTGGTGCCATCTCGAACTAACGAAAATAAAAAAGAAATAGGCCACTCAAACTATTCCCACGGAGCATCGACGAATTCCAATGTCACACTCACATCACACTGCAGGTTGTGATAGCAGGAATTTCACCAAGGAATTCGTTTTGTGAAACATTGAAATAAGTAATGCTGTTAAATTCAACAACTCCTAGTAGTGCCAACCCCGTGAATGAATCTGTATTTTCCACTACTGTCTCCATATTTCTTTACATTTCAAAGCTTCAGTGATCCACGCCATGGCCTGGTTTCTGCAAAACTTTAATTATATTTATTTAACTTGATACTGTTGTCTTGTTGCATTTCACCTAGTGCAAGGGTCTGGTTTAGAAAACATAGAAGAATGGATCAAAGTTCAAGAGACAAGTACGTAAAGAAAAGCTAAAAGGTGTATTAATTTAACTAATTAGTGCAGATTAACTTGACGTAAATGAAGAACTTACTAGCATGACCCTGGAACCTTTTTGCCTTTTGATATATATTGTTCATGCCCATGTGAACGTCGTTCACCTTCAGGTGTTAGTGTCATGCGCATTGCTCCTACCGAAAACACTGTTTAATATATGCTTTAATGAAATGCCAGGCAAGCAGCTCCAAACAAAGCATGATTACATGAATGGCAATTCTGGATAGACTCCCAACTAGGGAGAGGCTACTGAGAATGAGAATCGTTACAGACGGTTCGTGTATAATCTGTAATAAAACTACGAAGTCTAGGGATCACCTGTTTAGTGAGTGCTCAATGGCAGTTTCTTTATGGAAGGCTATTATGAATCTCTCCAGCTTAAGCACTCCTCCTTTACCATTAGTGAACATGTTACAATGGACAAGTGGTTATTGGAAAGATAAGTCCCTCCTTACAAATATCTTAAAACTTGCTTGGAGCGCTTTAATCTATTCTATATGGGAAGAAAGAAACAGAAGACTGTACCGAGGAAGCAAAAGAAGTAAGAAACAATTTTGATTTTCATTCAAGAGATTGTAGGTATTCAATTAAGAGGAAATAATATAAATAGATTAGATAGTATCAAAAATTACCTTTGTAATCGTTGAGGTGTTGATCATCATCTCTGTTGTAAGTAGTTGTTCTTTATCCCTCTGATGAGATGTTTTATGTAGCAGAATTTTATATCTTGGATAATAAAATTAAAATTATTCAAAAAAAATATTTACTCATAATATAACATATTTGAAACTAATAACGGTAAAAAAACCCCGGAGAAAAAGGTAAAATATACAAGGAAATTTTACATGTTGACCTGAAGGATATTATTCATTTAAATATAAATTTATTAACATTAATTGTAATTAAACCCTAATATCCCCACCACTATATATCTACGTTCCACAGTTTCAGGGGAAAAAATAAAAATCAGAAAGGTGAAATCCTTTAACCTAATTGTTCTTTAAAGCGGCTTTAATAATAATATTATTTATGTGAACATGAATAATTCTCCCACAGACTCATCTTCTTTCTGTTTATAATGTTAGTTATTCTTTTAAGTGTGGTAAACTCTGCCGAAATCAAACTTAAAATACCCACGAAAGAATAGAACTTTTCCATTATTAAAAAAGTATGCTAAAGAATCTCAGTGGTTAAGGGGTACACTAATAAGGATTAAAGAAATTATGAATTATTTAATTATTCTTTCCCTTTTGGCTTTACGCCAGATAAGTCGTTAAATGTTTCCCTACGCTACTTGTCAAGAGAGTTTGAAGACCCGGTGAGAAGGGCTGAAATCCATTTCATTCATTCATTGTTGAGAAAAAGAAATCAATTTATAGAGAACCGAAAATGGGTTCTACTACTGGCCAATTCTTTATCCAGCGTCCACGATTCAATCGTGTTTTCTTGCAAAACAATAATTTCCATTTACCAAAGCGAGTCCAGTTTCCGGTTTTGCCGCAAAGTTCCAATTTTCATGTTCCTGTCAGTTCCATTTCTCAGTGTAAGTTCTGTTGTTGTTGGCCTTCAATTCTTTATTTGTTGGTCATTTGATCATCTGGGTTATGTTCTGAAAGAATTTTCATTTCATCCTTTGCGTGTGTGTGTTTGTGTTCCTTGTTGCAGATGGGGGTCTAGTTTTTTGGAGTGCATATGTGCATCAGAGAGTGTATCAGGATCTTTTGAAAGGGAAACGGTTCAGGAATATTTACCCGAACCAATTCAGGTACTCATAGAATCCAATAGTGTTCAAGTTTCAGCTAAATTGAGTTTCCTTACAGTTTGATAGTTATAATGTAATCATCTCTTCATACTTTTCTATATGTAGTACTATAAAATGTTACTACCTAATAGTCAGCCTCAAAGATCGAAACTTTATAATGGGGAGGTTTGATAATTGGTACCCTAATCCTAAATTTGATAACTTTTATCCTGTTGTATTGAAGTATTGGATTTTCTTTGCTATGGTGCTCCAAGTTAATCCTATTATCTATTTAGTTATAAACATTGGCATTATCAACAGTTTTGGGCAAAAAATTATAGTTCTCGTGTATGACTTGTTTCAGATGGTTGAAACAAAAGAGGCTACTATAGCGGATGTTTTGAAGCAATCAGATTCCTTTCTGCCTCATGTAGTTCTTGCAAGTACCATTCTGGCTCTCGTGTATCCGCCTTCTTTCTCATGGTTTACCAGCAGGTCGTTGGCCGATTCTTTCTATGAATATGTTGTCTATACAATGTATTTTACTGCTTTTGCTTTTAATGGCAAATGGATCTTAGTTCCAGCTTCTGTTTGTTTAAGCCATCGTTTTAAAATCAGGATTACTTCTTCCATTCCTTTTCTCTTATTTATATCTAACATCCATTGCAGTTTTTTAGTATTAATTTTCTAATTGAAGTAATTTTTTACAAATTACAATGAAAGGAAAGGAAAGAAGTCCACTATGATAGAGTGAAATGAATTTTTGGACTGATATCTTAGCTTATGCTTTTATTATCTGCTCTCTTTCTAGGTACTATGCCCCTGCATTAGGGTTTTTGATGTTTGCAGTGGGGGTTAATTCCAGTGAGAAGGATTTTATTGAAGCATTTAAAAGGCCAGATGCTATTTTGGCCGGTTATGTTGGTCAATATGTTGTGAAGCCTCTGCTTGGATATATTGTTGGAATAATAGCTGTGACCCTGTTTGGTCTTCCGACACCTTTAGGTGAGTCTGTGTTTGTCTTTGTGGCTAATGCTACCAAGGATTAGCTTTTTTCTTGCCTAAAAAGACCATAGAGTTTGTGCTGATAAATGTGGATCTATGAATCAGGTGCAGGGATTATGTTGGTATCCTGCGTTAGCGGTGCCCAGCTCTCAACTTATGCTACATTCCTGACAGATCCACCACTAGCTCCATTAAGCATTGTTATGACATCGTTATCTACTGCTACTGCTTTTTTCGTTACACCGATGTTGTCTCTCCTGCTTATTGGGAAAAGACTGCCCGTTGATGTCGTGGGCATGGTGTCTAGCATTCTGCAGATTGTTATTGCTCCTATTACAGCAGGATTGCTTCTGAATCGGTTATATGCTAACCCCGAATAAATATGGTTAAACTCGAAAATAACTTTTCACAAGTTTCACCTCTAACGTGTTTTTCAGGTTGTTCCCTCGTCTATGTAATGCCATGAGGCCATTTTTGCCTCCGCTTTCTGTTCTTGATACGGCTTGTTGTGTTGGAGCGCCACTTGCTATTAACATTAACTCGGTTCTGTCCCCTTTCGGTTTAACTGTTTCGTTGCTTATTGCTGTATTCCATTTATCGGCATTCATTGCTGGTTATTTCCATAGTGGTTCGGTCTTCCATAATGCACCTGACGTGAAAGCATTGCAAAGAATTCTATCCTTTGAGACAGGTGAGAGCCTTTTTCCCTTTCCCTCTTGTTAGTTTGCACCATTGCTGATATGATTTGATATTGCAGGAATGCAAAGCAGTCTTTTGGCGCTTGCGCTTGCTAACAGGTTCTTTCAGGACCCACTAGTCAGCGTGCCTCCGGCTATCTCCGTAAGCCTTTTTGTTACCTCTTGCGCTTGCTTTTTCCGGTGTTGTTTCTGATGCATTGATCCCTTGTTCATAAATGGTTAATAACCTCTTTTCAGTCCTCTACAATCCAAATCCCATCGTCTCGGTTCGAAATGGTTAGTTGTGGTTAAAACGAATTGCCCCTAACTGTCTTGCTTTGGGGATTTGCAGACTGTAATCATGTCTTTGATGGGCTTCGCGCTGGTCATGCTGTGGGCAAAGAAAAAAGAATAATGGGAGAATGGTGAATCCATTGTTATCTGATGCATAAACTTGTGCTGCAGTCCAAAGTTTGATCATTGTAGAGCAGAAAATAGAAAAGAATCCTTGTAATTTTATACGGGTGAGCGTAGATTGAACTCAGCTAGTTCATGTAGCTACAAGCTTTTTAAGAGAGGTGATTTCGAGTATCACTTGATTTACGAAGCTAAGGACCATCGTTCACCGTAGCTGACCCTGGCCTTGCCTCTTGCGGGTTCCATATCACTTTAATAAATAAAAAAATAGAAATTAAAATAATTATTTTCTTGACATTATATCTTTAAAATATTCTATTATTATTAAATTTGACATTAATAATTAAATTTAAAAAATAAAAGGATTAGACAGCGTCCATCGTAAAAGATGTGGTTCCACACCAGTAACCGTCAGATGATGGAACTTTTGACGTCACCACATCATCATATTCAATCGAACAGCTAAGCATTCTCTCGACCCCTGTCAAAGTACCGTGTACCCTTCCCACGCCGACATAAAAAACAGTGGGTGCCGCAGAAACAAAACCAAACTCAATTTACTTTAAAGCTTGGAAACCAAACCAAACCAAACGTCTCCGTTTTCGGTTTGGTTTTTGGTTTTCAGTTTCGTATTTTGTTCTCTCATTTGTGATGCTGTTAGTTTCCACCGAGAAAAGAATCAAGTTTCTTCTGCTGTTTCTGTAAATTATTTCTCAAATTCTGTAGAATTGCTCACTTTTTTTGTACAACGATAAAGAAACAACCCCCGATCATCAAATTAACGAGGTAAGTATGTTTTACATATCTTGTTTTTCGATTTACTTGTTCATCGATTGAATAAATGTTAGGAAAATTCTCCATTTATTATTTGACCCATAACTATTGGTGACCGTTCGATTTATTCCGCTTTATTCGACCCATTATCGTATTAGGATTTAACTGGATTCTTCCCGATTACTGGTGGAGTCCGGTTTTAAACGGACGTTCGAAACACAAAATTACCCTGTCTTTTATTACCACCTAAACATCAGTCCGGGGGATATATTTGACTTTTACTTTTTATTCTTTAAACTTCCAAATCCCTTTCTTGCCGGGCAAGTGTTTGATGAGATTACGCAATTTGTTCACATGTACGATAATACCCTTACTATTGGTGGAGGGGTATATTCGTTAATCTCTAAATTAAAAATACAGATGTTTTAGGATTCGGAAGATAATCAGATTTTATATATTTTGATTCGAGCCTGCTTAGGGTAATTCAACTTTGATCGCATCTAATCGTTTCGTGAAAATCATTAATCAAAAGAGATCTTAAACAAAACCCTGAGGATTTTCTCATCTTTGCTTGTAGAAAGGAAACCATGGGTTCTGAACAGAATGAAGGAACTAGCTTTCCACCATCTGAGCCAAAGCTTTGCGCCAACGGATGTGGGTTTTTCGGCACGACGGCGAATATGAACCTTTGTTCCAAGTGTTATCGGGACATCCGTGCCGGGGAGGAGCAAGCTGCGCAGGTGAAAGTTGCCATGGAGAAGTCCCTCCGAGTCAAAACGAAGAAGGAAGATGAATTTGCGGAGACTTTGACGCCTGTTATTGAGGTGACTTCTGTGGGTTCATCATCTTCGACCGTGGTCGAGCAACAACCTGCTACTGTTTTGGCCGATGAAAAACCGACAGAGCCGAAGGCGGCGAACAGGTGCTCCGTCTGCAGAAAGAAAGTTGGATTAACCGGTTTTAAGTGCAGGTGTGAAAGTACATTCTGCGGCGAGCATCGGTACCCGGAAAAACACGAGTGCTCCTTTGATTTCAAGGGTGTTGGACGTGAGGCGATTGCGAAGGCGAATCCGATCATTAAAGCCGATAAGTTGGGGAGGTTCTGAAAAAGAAAGTGTGGGAGTTTGGAGATGGTTTTTGTGGTCGTTCCACTTGGTTGTTTAATGGATTTGGAAAATTACCGGGGGTGTTTTGATGTTGAGGGTAGTGTTTGATTCCATAATAGCAATGAATATTTAGTTTTCAGTTTTACTTCAATTGTTTCTGGGCTTTATCTTTTCATCAGACCCACATAGTTGGTTAATAATCGAACAGAATCATCCAACACAGAATTAATTGAAATCTGATTTTATTCCCAGAAAATCATTAATCAAATTGAAGTTGAGAATTTTATTGCTTAATTCAAGACCTTGAAAAAGCATTCCCTGGCTTGCAATTCCGCTCCTTAGTATCAAAAGCTGTTTGTTATCTGGTAGAGTATTACTTTTATTCTCATAATTGCAGTGCTTTCCTCGTATCCTTTTCCTTTATGTTGAAAAATCATAAAATTAGAAAACAACATTGAGACCTAACTAATACGATGCGTAAGTCGTAAGAATTTGTTCGTCCAAAGACGAGACTTTCAACTCTAGTATCTTTTAAATAGTAAAATTTAAGGATAAAGTACAAAAACGGTCTTTAACTAGTTAAGATTTATCGAGTACTTTAACTATTAAAAATTATAAAATAATTTTTTAATTGCATGAGGTTGTGTTTTTAAGTTCATCAATTATTAAAAATTATAAAATAATCATTTGACAAATCATTATGTTTCAAATTTATCTTTTTTGCTTAAAAAAATTAACGATCAATTAGTCAATTGAGCTTAACGTTAACATGTTGACTGAAATATGATAATCGTTTGAGATTATAAGATTATATTTTATCATATCCCAGTCAGCTCAACTTATACTATCAATTAAAAATTGGCAGGTTTAGAACATAATGAATAGTCAGGTGACTATTTTGTTACTTTTAATAATCGAGGATTCAACAAACCTACACCCTATAATCGAGAATCATTTTGTAACTTTTAATAATCGATGGATTCAACAAAACAATATCTTATATTCGAATCAATTGGGAACTCTACCCAAAATTTAATTAGAATTTTATAAATTTTTATGCATGATACATGCTTTGTTTTGGGGATTTCAACCACACCGTAAAGAGCAAGTTGAGGTGTTGAAGTCATAAAAGTAGCTTGGAAAACACATTAAATAGGGTTTGATGGAAACTCCGACCCTGCCCAACTCTGCACTTCCAATTGAAACCTGTATTGGCTTCACATCTTCCATCTACCTCTATGCAACCTCCAACACATTCTAGTGGGCACCCAAGACATAAGCAAACCTTAAGGTATTCAAAATTTAAATACTCATTATTTGCTTTTGTTTTATACAAAAGTAATCTCCTTTCCCTGTGTCTCCGTCTCTTTTTATAATTATTTGCAGATTGAAACTTTAAAAATTACCATATAAATTTCCAAACTTTCAAAAGGGAATCAAAATTAAATTAAATACTAAATCTTGCCATATAAATCCTAATGACAAATGACCCATCGAAATAAACAGTTGGATCTGAGGGGCGGGACAGTAATTTAAGAATTCTCCCACTATTCCACTACAGGCACGCCCGATTGATCTAAATCACGAGCCGCACGTACAAGTAAAGTAACCAACGAAACGTCTTTATGTTTCCAAAGGGTATTTTCGTTAGGGAATGCTTTTACTCTCTTCTCTGCTAATTTAATTGTTTAAACGCTCCAAAAGTTTCACCCCGTTTTCACTGCATTTTTCTTTGCAACCAACCAAAGGATAAGCGAAGAATCGGAGAGTTCGGAAGAAGTAGGTGCCTTAAAGGCTGGAGCTTTTTGTGGTTTTTGTTACTGGGTTTTTTTTTTAATGAAGAAATGGCCAGTGGTGGTGGAATTTATAGGAATGGGACTCATAGGAACTCCCTCAAAGGAACAACGACAACGGCAACATCATCAACAGATAGGCCATTCTCTGTGAATTCCAACCCTTCGAAGCCTGCACTAAAAAATAAGTCTTCGTCTTTGGTCGGTGCTTCTTCTTGTCCAAGTAAGAGTAGCCCCGGCTCACTTGGAGGTGGAGCTGCCAAAGATGATGCTGGAGGTTAGTTTTGGGGTTTTGTTTGAGATCTTCGGTGATAAATTCTTCTTGGTTTTCTTGTAAACGTCGTGTCTCGTTTATTCCCCCCCCCCCCCCCGTTTTTGGGGTGTCGGATGTCTGAAATTTCACTAAAAGTTGATGAGTAGCTTTTCTCAATTGTCGATGATTATAACATAAATTGTGTAATTTGCTCTTTATAAGTAGCATTCTGCATCTTTTTTTGGAAGGTTATAAACTTATATTTGTTATTATCTTAGCTCTGAGAAGTGGTAGAAGAGAATTTTTTAAGTTATTTCCAGTTATGCAATCTGAAAATGCTCCACATCAGACTGGTAAACCATATACTGGTGGGGTGAAGCTGGACACTGGTTGAGGCCCAAATTAAGTAGCCCCTCAAACTAGCAGGATTTAGTACGGCTTTCTTGATATTCACTTTGAGAATATGATTCGTTATTTCTGATTGTTAGTATGTTAATAATGCTGAAATTTAGTACGCCTTTCTTGATATTCACTTTGAGAATATGATTCGTTTTCTCTGATTGTTAGTATGTTAATAATGCTGAAATTTATACAGAAAAATATGATTCCTCATTCAGGGATGAAGTGTCAGGTTCTTTGTAAATTCAGTCTTCATTAGAGCGATGGTTTTAACTTATCTAGTATTGAGTTTTTCTTGGAAAGTATAATCAGCATGCTACTTATGGATGTAACCTATGCTTGTACTGCGTATATTATTTGTTAATTTGAATCCTTTATGTCTCTCTTCAGTTCCTGGAAGAGTTAGAGTGGCTGCGAGATTGCGTCCACGTAACGCGGAAGAGTCTGTGGCAGATGCTGATTTTGCTGATTGTGTAGAACTTCAACCAGAGGTATTTTGTTTCTATTTAACAGTTAGATGTGCAGGGTCAATGGAACTAGGATTAAACATTGGGAGGGGCCAGTGTGCTTAGCTTCAAAAGAACAATGACCTATTAAGTATTTAAACCCGAAAATGGGGGGATGGCCCCTCCCAAGCACTGAATAGCTCCGTCCCTGTGCAGGGTTATATGTTTGATCTTGAAGTAGCACTGATTGAAGAAAAGTTAAGAGAATGACATATTCATTTTATCATGTACGGGTTGGCACCATGAGGGATTCATCAGCCTAAAAAGCGAGATATTCAAATTAAATGGAGAAAAGTAGTAAGGATTGAATAATATAATCACTTCATTTCAGTTAGTCAAGAAGGATTTAGTTTCTAACCGCATTAGAAAAAGAGAAGTTGGATGTGCCTGTGCCTGTGCTTGTGCATGTAGCTGACGTAACTAGCTTTTAAAGTTATTGAATTTTGCTCCCATAAAGTTTCTGCAGGTGTTTACTACTAGAGTTTGATGAAGTGCTCTCCAATGCTTCAAATTTTCTTCTTTTTTCAGCTTAAAAGGTTAAAGCTTCGGAAAAACAACTGGGACACAGACACCTATGAGTTCGATGAAGTGCTCACAGAGTTCGCTTCTCAAAAGCGTGTGTATGAAGTTGTTGCAAAGCCAGTTGTGGAGGTTTAAGTACATGGGATTCTACTTCTACCAAAATTTGTTAGAAATTTACTTGCATTTAGTTATTCTTCCTTGCAACAGCAGAAGTGGTGAATTCAAATATTTCATCTAGCAAAATATTTGGATTTTTATTATGTTGGATGATAATTATTTTCAGAAGTTGATGACCATCCTTTTCCTGCCTGCTACAGGCTGAAAATAGTAGTTTCAGCCTATCATTGTGTTTTGTGTTGTCCTTATCCTATGTTAGCAATTGTTTTGCCCTTCTTTAAATAATTGTTGTGCTTGGCCATAATTTGTTGTAAAGAATCTCTTTCCTTTTTATTTTTTTGATGCTTTGTTGATTTTATAACGATATCTTTGTGTATTTTTGTTTATAGGGTGTTTTGGATGGTTACAATGGAACAATCATGGCTTATGGTCAGACTGGTACTGGCAAAACATATACTCTTGTACAACTTGGGGAGGCAGATACAGCTAATCGTGGAATAATGGTCCGTGCTATGGAGGATATTTTAGCAGAAGTTTCACCAGAAAGGGATACTGTTTCAGTCTCCTATTTGCAGGTTGCATAGTACTTCAGATCTTGGTGTTGATTTCTGATATTGTCATAGTTTTCATTAATTGTGTTAATTGGTCTAAGCTTATTTAGAATATTCTTATCATTTTCTCCAAAGTTATAAATGTTTCAATGTTCCTAATAGTTTTGTTCATTGAAAATTTGTGAAGCTCTACATGGAGATCTTACAGGATCTTCTTGATCCTACCAAGGACAACATTTCCATCATTGAAGACCATAAATCTGGAGATGTTTCACTACCTGGGGCTACCATAGTAGAAATAAGAGATCAGGAGAGTTTCTTGGAATTACTACGATTACTACAAACACAAAATTGAACGCTGAATCTTCTCGGAGTCATGCTCTTTTGATGGTGAATTAATTTTTTGTTGACAATCATGATTGAGCTTTATTTATCTTATCACACCATTAATTAATCTCTTTCTGTTTCAGGTGAATGTCAAGAGGCCTGTCAAAGGAAGAGAACCTGCTCATTCAAGTGAAAACGGTAACAACACTAGCATGGCTAAGTCTCTTAGGCCTCCACTTGTTCGAAAGGGCAAGTTAGTTGTTGTAGGTCTTGCTGGTTCAGAGAGAATTGATAAGTCGGGTAATGAATCCGGAAGCAAAAAGCTTTCTCCCTCTGTTTAACTGTTTATTTGATGACGATCCTACTTTCCACCTTTTTACTTGTGAAAAGCGTCTTCTCTTGTTTATCCTGCAAATTTAACTTTGTTTATTTTCTATTACTTTTCAGGGAGTGAAGGTCATACACGTGAGGAAGCCAGATCTATCAATCTTTCTCTTAGTGCATTAGGGAAGTGCATAAATGCACTTGCAGAGAATAGTGCTCATGTTCCTGTTCGTGATTCAAAGCTTACTAGGTTACTTCGAGACTCATTTAGAGGTAAATCAATTACTTTTTTCTCGTGTTATTAATTACTAAGCTATTATCCTACGTACTCGCAAATGTACATGTAGCTGTAAACATGAATGTTGTGACTTAGAGTTTGTCTGTTAAACTATAAAATCTTGTTCTGTAGCATCTTACGTCCCATTTGAACAATGTAAGACCATCATCTTCCATACTGCAAATTGTTCTGCTGACATTTTGTTTCTTTAACAGGCACAGCAAGAACATCATTGGTTATAACTATAGGTCCATCTCCACGTCATCGTGGAGAAACAGCTAGTACTATAATGTTTGGACAGAGGGTGGGCTACAAAACAACTTCCTTTATATTATTTCATCTTATTTTATTATATTATGACGCATTCCTGAATTAGTTGGAGGGATTGTCATGTACTAGATTCCACTGTTTATTTATAATGTCATTTAATTGCTCAACATAAGCTCTTTCTTTGCCTTTTCTAGGCTTTGAAACTGGAGAATATGTTGAAACTCAAGGAAGAATTCGATTATAAAAGTTTGGCTCGAAGGCTAGACATACAATTAGACAACTTGATTATGGAGATTGGAAGAATAACAACAGATGTGCAAAACCAAATTTCTGAGGCTGAAAGAAACTATGCTGATGCAATGGAGGTAAGGTTTTTTCCTTTTTTTTGTATTTGTTGGTTCGCATGTGCACATGGTTGTGTGAAGTTTGTGTACAGGTGGGGGAAGAAAATTTTTCCCCTTAGAATTTCTCTTAGTTTGTAGGTATTCTAAATTTAGATGGAAAGTGGTGACTGCTGTGCTAATGTGTAATGCTATAAAGCTTATCACTGTCATAACTTTGCCAGTTTTCTACCTGAAAGGTGGTAAGTACAGTAGAAATTTCTACATGGTTTCAAACAGGGATTCAAATAACGGTCCGCTATTGGAATAGCTGCCGTTATATAGCGGTAATGGTGCCATCCGGAACCGTTTTTGCACGACCGCAATAACACCCGCTATGCCCGCAATCCCAATAAATCCAACGCAACCTCAATTTAAATCCCTGGTTTCAAATAACATGACTTATCAATTGTGTAACATATGATCTTTTTAATGATTTGGGAAATGGTGCTTTAATTGCCATATACTTCTAAATTTCAGTACAAGGATGGGGTGCTCTGAATAGAAATCAAAATGGGGTTTGAGTGGTATCTTTTTTCTTCTTTTCTAGCAGAAGGAAAGATTGAAGTATCAGGACTATATGGAGTCAATAAAGAAACTTGAGGAGAAATGGATAATGAATCAACAAAATCAGGGCACTGAAAGAAAGGTGAGATTATAATATTGTGTAGGAGTATCTCCCTTATTACATGATATTGATTGCTCATATAATTTAATTTAGTTGAGCGACCATATTTTTCGTCTTTTTCTTCATTCCTTTTGTACTTCTCTAGTTTTCTGTCACTTATAGCTAACTTTTAACCTTCCTTTATCATATATATGCCAATTTCTATTCGACGCAAGAGCAAATAATCCACACTGCTGAAGAAGTTGCTGAACTAAAAAAGTTACTTAGCAAAGAAACTTCACTAAGGAAAGCAGCTGAAGAGGAGGTCAATAACCTTAAAAGTCAACTAGCTCAATTGAAAATGTCGGAGGTAAATTTTGTGTGTCTATTTTTTTTCTGTAGCACTGCTTTTCTGCTACTTGTTTGGCATATAGACTGCTGTCCCATGCTGTCATACTTCTAACATATAGGCATCAGCAAATTCGGAGATCTTGAAGCTGCGAAAGATGCTAAAAGGTGAGGTATCACAAAAGGATAAACTTGAAGGGGAAATATCAATGCTGCAAAGTCAGTTATTGCACCTAAGTTTTGAAGCTGACAAGGTATATTATCAATTGAATCTACAATGTTTCACATAGTCCATCCACTTATTGGTACTAATCCTGTGATGCAATACTTCCAAACTTCTTTTGCTTTATTGTTCAGCCCCTTCATTTGCTAATTAATCATCCCTCGCATGAAGAAATATACATAATATGTATGGTAACTGTTAAAAGTTTTGTTTGTTTCCTTGTAATTAAACTGCATATATAATATTCACCTGACATTGATATCAATGGCATTAAAACAACCTGATTTAAAGAAATGAAAATTGTCTTATAGAAGGCGAGTCTAGTAACATTTAAGGACACTCATCTATTCCCAGCCTGAGTGACAATAGCTTTATGTCTACTTTATAAATTTTAATTTGATGCTCATTGTTATAGACTAGAAGAAGACTTGACAAAGGTGGGGCTGGGAATGACACGGGTGGTCTAGATGCTCTCATTTCTCAAGTTAGACCTCAACTAAAGGATTCAGGAAATGGTGAGAAGGCATCTGTAGCAAAACTTTTTGAACAAGGTAGTAGTAATTCCTGAAGTTATATTATGAAACAATAATAAACAATAATGTATTTATAGTTAATCTCATTGCTTTCTCTTACAGTGGGATTGCAAAAGATATTGTCATTGCTTGAAGCAGAAGATGCTGATGTGCGGATTCATGCTGTGAAAGTGGTAGCGCATTTAGCTGCAGAGGGTATTTTTTCTGCCTGTCTGTTCCTCTTTTACTTTTTGTCATGGCACGGACATTGCTCTAAACTCAAAATAATTAAGATATAGCACTTCCATTTTTATGTAGTTGCATGTTTTCTTGATTTTATCATTTTTTTTGTTCCATAATAATACCTGTGAATCTTGTAGAGGCAATTTTAGTAAGATTGAAACCGTCAGTTCTACTTAACTGTGGATTGACATGGATGCATTTGCTGTTTGTCTCTCGTGTGTGGATAATAATAACTTTGATAGTGCTGTTTCTTATATATGTCAATGACACTGCTAACCCCACCTCTATTGTTCAGAAATAAACCAGCAGAAGATTTTAGAAGTTGGAGGTCTAAAGTCCTTGCTGATGCTTCTTGGAAGCTCCGAGGATGAAACCATACACAGAGTTGCAGCTGGTGCAATTGCCAATCTTGCGATGAATGGTAAATTTTTGTGCCTCTGGTTCATTATTTTTATACTGCTAGAAATGCAATATGATGTCACTTTTAAAGTCTTTTCTCTTTCTTCTCTTCCTTTTACAAATATACTCTTGTTTATTTTCTCAGAAACGAACCAGGAACTTATAATGTCTCAAGGGGGTATTAGCTTATTATTTTTTTTTATAGGAATAGGAGGCCTCATTAAAAACCTCCCTCTTAGTTGGCTCTTGTGAAAGAGGCAACTAGCAGAAGGAGGAAAAGAGTACCTCATTTTATTAATAACCCATAATTACATAAGATACAACTTACATAATAAACTTCCCTAGAAAATTTTTAATTTTCTGACTGCCGGAGGTCTTCCACGGAAGCTACTCTCAACCTGGCGTTGGGGGTAGCCTACTACCCTACCTCCCCCTTACCCCATACATATGGGAATTGGGTTTTGTTGTTGTTGTTGTTGTTGTACAACAACAGAACACAACACCTCAACCAATCCCCTCTTTTGCTAACTTGTCTGCTTCCCAATTACAACTCCTTGGAATCCAATTAATAATAAAACCCCTAGCAGATACATAGGCCCCAATTTCCTCAAACACTTAGAATGGTTGCTGGGGCGCTCGCCAATCTTTGTGGCAATGGTAAATTGCTTTACCTCTTCTGTGTTTATCTGTGGCTCTTATTTGCTATGCTTTTGGCATTTTTTAAGGAGACTAAATGATATGTTCATATGAAAGAACTAACAGTGGTGTATGGTGTAGGGCTTAACTGAATGAGTTGTTCGATCAATAACTTCCTTGAATGTTAAGTTGATCTGTAGTTTTACCTCTTCAGTCGAATTCAATTATGTTCTGCAGGTAAGCTGCAGACTAAGCTAAGTGGTGAAGGTGGTATTAAGGCTTTGCTAGGAATTGTTAAATGTGGACATCCAGATGTTCTTGCTCAAGTTGCTCGTGGAATTGCAAACTTCGCTAAATGTGAGTCGAGAGCATCAACTCAAGGTACATTTTCCTGGAGGATGGCTTCTTCAATTTTTTTATATTTCAAAGCTTATAAAGTACCATTGTTTACCTTTTCGATGCCTTGCTAACAAAGTTAAGGGTGCATGTTCAGCACATATTTATGATTTCTTTATCTTCAAGGGTGGGGTAATTTGGTTCTGAAATTATACAGGGAGTAAAACTGGAAGATCTCTTCTGATTGAAGATCGTGCTCTCCCATGGATTGTACAGAATGCTAACAGTGATGCCTCACCAATCCGACGTCATATTGAGCTTGCACTCTGCCACTTGGCACAACATGGTTCGTTTCTTTTTCCTTTGAAAATTTTGAGACATCTCTAATGAGGCTCCAATTCAATACTACATTACAGAAGTGAATGCTAAAGACATGATAAGCGAAGGTGCCTTGTGGGAATTGATCCGCATCTCCCAAGATTGTCCGCGGGAAGACATAAGAACACTAGCACATCGAACACTTACTTCTAGCCCCACCTTCATAGCTGAATTGAGGCAGTTACAGATGGACTATTAATACAAATCTGTAAAATTCAATCGAAGTACCGGACTCGAAGTGCAGAGATCACGCCTGCTTAAGTTTTGCCATGAAATATAGAATGTTGCTGGCTTTGTCGATTAGAGAGGGAACCTCTGGTTTATTAATCAAACTGTGTCTTGTAATGTCCTATAATATATTCATATGAGATTGCCCGTCTTGTGCAGTTTGCTAATTATAGTAAAGAAACTATTTGTCCATATGGAATGGAAAGGAGGGGAACTAAGATCCAGTGGTTCTTGTATATAAACAAGTTCAAAACTATTGTGTTCTGTAAGCATTGATTGGTTTTTTAAAATCTTTTTTTTTTTGTTCCAATCAAACAAAAATGCCCCCACTGTGTTATTGCCAATTTGTTCATTTTTTTCTCTTTTTATTAAATATATTAATTTACCTATAGCAGAAGGAAGTGTAAGGAATGACAGAAGCTGAAGGGAATGGATAAGCTTTGGGAAATAGGGGAAAAAGCATACAGCTGTGAGTTTGAGTTGTTGAGAGAATCTGAAGGGGGTTTTGGGTGATTGGTGCTTTAAAAAGGGAGTATAAAGAACGACAGTCTAATTTAAAATTAAAAAAAAATAACAATTCGAAGATATAATAAAAATTATAATATTTTAAATTTAATGTAACTTGAAATGTTATCACTTTAGTTGTGTTCCAAAATCATCAATTTTTAACTTCAAATTAGCCTATCACACAGCAAAACTATCCATTTAAACAGCTCTGCCCAACCTCTCTTCCTCAGAGTCCAAAAAGAGACAGACAAGGATGAACTAAGAACCTGCTAGTGTTTCGTGGTATTGCCTCGAAAAGGAGCTTGTTCAGAACAATGCACGTGTAATACCACCCCCTAGACCTTATCCTTTCTCGTTATTTCTCTCTCAATAAACATACAGCTTTACTATACGATTTGGTATTTATGTTCGTATTAGTGTCCTGATAAATACGGTACTTTTTCTCCTAAAATGCGTTTTCGTTATTTATCCTTTGTTTATTAAAATTTCTAGAGTTTTATATTTCTCAACTAGCTACGATTACTTTACGTGATTAATAATGATCATGATTTATTAAAGTTAAATTTATTATTTTACAAATATTTTTGTTCGTCTTATTAACTTACAAATAACCATCGTCACTTTACGTCATTGCATATGTAAAAAATCATTTAAACAATTATTTATTCTCAATTAGTTTTATATTTCTCAATTATTTATTATTTGATATCATTTAAGCAAGGACTCGAGTTTGAGTCCTTATATATGCAAAAAAAATTGTTAGGGGACTCACCTACCAAAATTAGATGTGTGACACGGGTCAGTCTAGATTAATTAAAGTAAAGTCTAAGAATCGTGAGGGCAATAAAAAAACATATATATAAATCATCATGTAAGTTTGGAGAAGAATTTTTTTCCTCCTCTCATATACTATTTCTCTCTCAAGATAATTTGCCCTACACTATTAATCATTTTCTTCCGTTCAATAGAACTATCAACCGCAATTCTTTGTTAAAATTAAAAGGAGTTATTATAAACCGTCATAATCTCATTTCTCTTGTCAACAATAAATGACATCACTTTTTTAATTAGAGAATTTAAACTTAAACTTAAATTTAAAAATAATATTATTGAAAAAATAATTATAAATTCCGAATATGGATTATAAAATAAATCTAAAGATTAAAAAAATAATTTGATATTTAAATTTATCCATTTCTCTAATTTAGTTTGGTATCTAAACCAATATTTGTTTCAATACAATACTCGAATTTGATAATTTAACTATATGATAAAATAACATTTCAATTATCACTTATGAAATTGTGACAAGTAATAAAAATACCACATCAACACGTATAAAATTAATAAATTTAAGTACCATTTTGAAAAAAATTCACATTTAGATATCAAATGGATTAATAAAAGAAATATAAATACCACATTCATAAAAATGATAAATTTATGAGCTAAATTAGATAAAAACGCACACAAATACTACACTTCTTTACAAATCCAATTACAAAAAACGTATATTAGGTAATGCACATTCGTGTTCTGGGAAATAGTTTGGTAGCCCCATGCACCCAACCCATTTAGAAGGTTTGATCCTTTGACCTTGTCTGCTTCTTTACATAAACACACCAACAAATTATGAAATTGTACTTATCTTCAACTGTCTTCCTAAGTATGGGTTCTGATCATCATCAACAGAAAAGATACTAGCTAGTTTTGTGTATAAGAACGAACCTTCCTTTATCCGAAGGAGATCGAGTAGCGTGTGTATAACTGGGTGTATCTATATGAACAAGTAATGAAGTGTAAAATCACACAGCAAAATGACATTGATAATGGGGAAGTATAATTATGAGAGAGTGATGGAGCTGCAACAATAAAAATATAGGTGAAAAGAAGTACTGCAAGTAGCACCTAAGCTATTCTGGAGGCAGTTCCATTCTTCTTCTTCTTCTTCTCAGAAAATCAAACTATGAGTTAATTGTCATTCAATCAACACGCTCAATTCAGTAAACAAAACCTGAAACTTTGCTCAACAAACCCTGATTTCCTAGCTGCCTGTGCACCTGATTGTTAAAGCTGAAGTTGAAAAGGAATTAACCAACAATCGTATCATTGAGTTTGCTTAGAATGGAGGGCGAGCAGTAGCCCAAAAGGCCTCACTTGGTAATTGAATAGAATTGAGAAGATTAGGTGGTAGTCCATTAAAAAGAGGCGCATTTGCATTTGACTGCGCTAGTATTTGTTGTTGTTGCGGCTGGTGTTGCCCTCCAAGTGCACCGGGTGATCCTATTCCATCCCCTTGCAATGGAAACTGCCCTTCTTCTTCTCCTCCTCCTCCTCCCAACGGAAGCCGCTCGTACGCGGCGTTACTAAAAGAAGCTGCCATGATCACAACGGGACCTGAACAAATGAGTGTCCCAACAACACTGCCACCCACCACTTGGCCTTGACCACCAGCCTAATATACTGTCATCCCCGTAGCAGCCGGCGGTGCGGGTGGAGGCAGGAATGATCCCATCAATGATAGTATCTCGAATCGGCCGTGTAAGTTGACAACCGCAGTACCGGCCGAGCCCGGTTGTCTAAGGGTTACGTTCGTGACGGTCCCGGTTCCACTCATTATGCATACCCCTCTCTGGCGTCTCCTGGCGAACGTGGCGACGCTCTCGACGACGTCGCATCCGTCCCCTATTTCCATGACATGAGTGCGTAAAGCGTTGTCACTGTCGCGGGTGATGATGATGGGTTGTTTAGGCTTGTTCTTGGATCCAGCAGGCCTACCTCGTTGTCTTCGATTCATCTCTCCTTCACCACTAGCCATGAAGACTAAGCTCTTTGCCTTCGTTACCGTTGTTGTTGACATCGTCTCGATCCCGTTTCTTAAGGCCACCGCTGCTTCCACTTTGTTGTTGTTCATCTTCTGAATTCTGGGGATGGTACTGATTTTGTCGCTGTTGAATATGTGGATGGTGAAGATGGAAATCTCTTAAATGAAATGCAGGTGGGACAGAAAGGCCATGTGATGAAACTGGATCCATGTTTTACAATCTCACTTGCTCGCATACAAAACCAGGAATCGCAGAGCAAAGCAGTGATTAAAACAGCAAAGAGAGAATAAAAGCAGGCGCAAAGGGTTAGCTTGTAAAAGAAATAAAGGAAGTATAGAAGAATATATAATGAAAACAGACTGATTGCACAGCTCTTTTCTTCTTCTTCTTCCTTTGCTTTCTGGCTATCCCTATACCTCATCATCACTTGGACTTAAAGTTTTGAGCTGAATTCCAACATAAGAGATTGGGATGTCATGGAGAAATTATTAATCAAATAATCTTTAACTCCAATTCAATCTCTCGTTAATTGCAAGTATTTTCTTGTACAATAATCTTATATTGAACTTGAATACTTGATCATAAGAACCGTAAAATCAAAACTCAAGGCACTATGAACGTGTTTCTTTACTAAGCAAAAAAATCTTATCCATTTTCGGTTGTCATGAAGAATCCTAGAGCAATCAATAGCCATTAATTTTTTTTGTGCGTAAATTAAATACTAATAGATAAATCTCATCTTTTATCTTTAGTTACCTCTGTAATTCAATCTTTTGACTATACTTGAGGGATCTAGTATACTATACTAACTGGTTGTTGGTATAAAGAATAGTATAATGGTGCTATTTAGATAATTTGGCCTAAGTGTAGGCATAATCCAGAGTGTTGGGGAGAAGACGCGTAGGAGGCGCTGACAGAGAAGCACAACTTAAGGCAAAGGCAACGGCAATGGCAATGTCAATGTCAATTTGCAGGCGGAGAAAGCCAGACAGGGGTTTAGTAAATGCACGTTTAATGCTGTTGCCCAGTAAGGCCTCCACCCACCGGCTGATCCTCAAACAGAAAATCCACACAGATTAGGTTGTTCAATTGACTCCTCCTCCTCAAATGAATTTATTATGATTATATAAAAATATTAATTATTTGTCGAATTGAAATATTTCTATTAATTTGATCGGACTTCATTTAATTAAACAAATTTAATCTTTTAAAAACTGAAGGGCATGCTTCGAATCTGGCAATATAAATGTTTCTTCTGCTGCCTTTTCTCACGTGGTCCATGTTGTTGATCCTAAAATTAATTAATTAATTACACCATCATCTTCTAATTAAATAATTTTAATTAAGAGCCTTGGTGTTGAATTATTCAGTGTAAAATTGATTCATTGGTCATTCATCTTTCAAAAGTTGTATGAAATGATTCATGCTTATTATACTAAAATTAGTTTATGCACCATTGATACAAGCCATTCTTTTCCTGCTTATATCATGTCGTTTTCATTATCAAATTCTAGGTAATTTGTAGGGTAGATATAATTCGAATATATATATATATATATATAATTTGAATCAATTTAAATGTTTAATTTGGATCTCGTAATCAAGTCGAATCTGAATTTACAAAATTAAAGGATGACGAAATGGCTGATAAACAATATTGTCGTGATAGTGTGCACATAAAGTAATAACATATAAATCTTATTAAACCTATGAGCCCATTTGATGGGAAATAATACAGAACACTAACCGAGGCCTGTTCCTGCCTCCTTACGAGGTGCATCGGCCTTGATACGAGGCGGTCTGACTATACGATCAATAAGCCCGTATTCAAGAGCTTCTTGAGCATTGAAGCGTTTCATCCTACTTAAATCCGTGTTGATCTGCACGTGTACAATCGTTGTTAGTTTGGTTTCAATGGGTAAAACAATCAAAATTTAAAGAAAAACAAATGAATTTTCGGCAGAGAAAGCGAATGAAAGCTCGAATGAGAGATATGATGTGAATGTTTGTGTCTCGAGCCGAAAAGGGAAGTGCTCGCTACACATAAATGAATCCAACAAAATGAAAACATTACTATAGTTAAATTTTGAGCTTGAGCTGTTAACATCACCTTCTCAACAGGCTGGCCTGTGTTCTTAGCTAGCTCATTGTAAAGGTAATCTCTGATTCTAAGAAGCTCATTTGCTTCATTGCGGATATCATCAGCCTGTCGACATTAGATAATTTTATGATAATCAAAATAATATCAATGAAAATGTTTAACATAATTCACAATCAGGTAGCCGGCAGTCATACCTGACCACGAGCTGCACCAGCTGGAGACTGTAGTGCGATTCTTGAAAGAGGCATTGCAAAGCGATTACCCTTCACATATAGAAAACAAGAAAGAACTATATCATATTTCCAATTTCAGATTCAAATTACAGATGCATCACATAAGGCGCTAAAGAAACTTCATGATCTGGTAATAGGCAAGAGAACAGCAATGATGCACCAATCACAGGTAATAAAAGCTCAATTAGGTCAGAAAAGACAGCTTTTTCAGTTATTGTCATCACCTCCAGACCAACATAGAATACATTTTACGAATCACTATGTAGTCAGCACAGCTATTTACGGGACTACTTCATGCCTCGTCCCATAAGAGTTTACAACCTTCACTCGCAAAATATAATACCATGGGCTTTATAGATATAGATGGAAGAGATACCTTATCACCAGCTGCAAGAAGGAAGCCTGCAAGATTATAGGCATAGCCTACACAGTGGGTGCCGATAGGGCTCTTCAAGCTTTGCATGGTATCATAGATGGCCAAGCTTGGAGTAAGCTGTAAACAAAGCCAGTCTATATCAAATAGAGACCAGAGATAAGAAACTAGATATAGAAATATATACATCAACAAAGGATTTAAAAAGGGAAGTTACATCTCCACCAGGACCGTTGATGTAAAAAGAGCCTTTTATTATCATCGATACTATCAAGGTATAGCATCGTTGCCAATATTTGGTTGCTAAATTCCTCATCTATATGTTGTCCGATGAAGATAACTCGCTCTCGGTACTGCATTCAAAGAATGTCATTAGCCTCTAGAAGTCACATGCTAGAATTTAAAGCTTGTTTGAAAAGATTCAAGCAGCAATGAAAATCAAGGAGACAATGAAACAATTGTCAAACCACTTCTCAAACTGAAAGATATTCATAAAACAGGACGGTAAAAGAAAGATTATATGGTACGCTTGAATCATCTCCAACATAACAAGACCCTGAACAGAATGCACGCTACAATTTGTTTAAAGGTTGTTTGAAAATATTCAGGCAGCAATGAAAATCTAGGAGATGCTGAAACAATTGGCCAACCACTTCTCAAACTGAATCGTAAAGCAGCAGAACTGTAAAAGAAATATTATATGGGTACGGTGGAATCATCTCCAACATAACACAATCCTGAACAGCATGCATGCTACAATCTGTTAAGTTTATAACTAAGGTTCTCCAATCTTATAATGTAAAATGAGCTAAGTTTACTCACTAGAGCATTCCATAAATCAACCCATTGCCAAGTTCCTTCGCCTGGAACTCTATAGGGAACTTTCGGAGTTCCTATAGGCATCATCCCTACTCGTGCCCTTGTTGCTTTATAGTTTTGTGTTCTGCAGACAAAGAAATGCACAATCATCAATACATTGGAAGGACTAATTCACAACTTGAATTTAGAGTTGTCATGTATCATATAGTTGAGACTACATCAGATAAAGCTCCACGTTTCCATGAAAGAACATAAGCAACTAGAATGCAACAAAAATCAGAATAAGGCAGGCATAACAGATAAAAAGTAGCCATCAAACATGCTAGTATGCTACGAAACCTTAAAGAAGCAACCTTTGAATCAAACATAAACATTAAAAAGATGCACTTTTGCTTTTCTCTTGGAGCCAAAAACAATATTCAACAAGTTAAACGTGATTTTCACTAGCAAGAAGAACATTGTAAAATAAAAAATTCGAATTTGTGAGCTGCAAAGTTGCCCTAGAGAGTGCCACGATCAAAATAAACAAGAACAACGGAAGATCTCCAATTACAAACCCTAAACACAATCAATTAAAACAATAAATTAAAACTAGAGACTAGTTACCTGCATTGGAGACTCTTATTAACTCTGGTATAGAAGTCTGCAGTTAAATTTGGTCTCCCAGTTGCAAACAAACCTTTAAAATATTAACAATTACAAAAAAAAGGGGATAAAAATTTAGGGTAGATGTAAAAAAAATGCATGAATAAACTAGAGAGGAAGACGAACATACAGGGAGATTGAAGCTTCAAACCAGTAAAGCTTAGTCCCACAACTGCAAACAATAAACGAAGAAAATACAAATACCCATGTCATATACATACGTATAAAATACACCGTAGATGTGTTATACAGTGATAGAAATATAACCTGGGAGAGGGCTGACAAAGATTTGTATCAAGTGAAGTGGCCATTGTTTTTGGGGTTTGAAGAATCCGAAGAGAGTTATATTCGGAAGAAGAAGATAGAGAGAGTGGATTATATAGCAAGGATCTGGTGAAGCCGTTACTATTTTCGACAGGTTCAAGAACAAATCGTTGCCGGTTGAATTAGGTTTGAATCATTTGATGCAAAAACCAAAGACTGCCAACGGAACCACCTGGTAGCTGCCTTTAGGGACATGAAATTCTTCCTTTTGTCGAACTCAAACGGAATCGTTTTATGGCTTTCAATAATTTAAAGGGTTAATGAAAAAAATAAGTAACAAAATTATACTCAAAATTAATTTTAAATGTTTAAAGAATTTATTTTTGTTAAAATAAGTGTTTTGATATTTCTAACATTACACTTTAAGGTACTTATACTATAACGGTAATTAAATTCCACAGTTAATTAACAAGTGTCACTCTAATATTTTTTTTTGAAGTTTTTATTTTATAAAAAAAATTAAAAAAATTATTATTTAAAAAACTCAAATTTGTCTGAAATTACCAAAAAAAAAACCAAAACTCTAAAATCCCTCATTCTGACTCTCATACCAGTCGTCTCCGACCATCATCGGCTACCTTCGCCATTATCGAACGACTACCCATCCCTCCGCTGTCGACTATCCCTTTGTCATCATCTCCATCCCCCTAAATACATAAATCTTTAAATTTAAATTTAAATCTCTAATCTTAATCCCAAATCCTTAACTCTAATCTCATAATTATTATATTATTTTTCGATTTTTGGAGAGGGGAATGATGTGACAACGGAGAGGGGAAGCAGTGACCAATGATGACGACAAGACTAGTAATAAGGGAAGAGGAAGCATGTGGGGGTTGGAATTTTTTTATTTTTTTTTAAAAAAATAATATTTTATTTTTAAAAAAAAAGTTTAAAAATATATAAACATGATATATGTCATTTGACTGTTTTTTAAAGGTAGACACTTAAAAATATAACGAAGATAATTTTAAATATCTATTTTCAACGAAAAATTCTTTAGACACTTAAAAGTTAACTTTGAGTATATTTTATACACTTATTTTTACATTAAACCATTGTTAAAATATCCCAGCATGATTAGATACTAATTTTAGATTTTTTTTTCTAAATTCAGATACCAATTTGAAAAAACTACAACTTCAAGTACAAATTTGTATAACAAACACGTAATGAATTATTAATGTATTAGAATATATATATAATAATAATAACACAAATAACACACACAAACATATATAGATGAATTCAAGATCCAAATATAGCCCTGAATTATACCAGGGTCTGCAGTAAATTGCTCATATTGAAAACACTAGAAATTCTTTGTTCTTTATCGGTTTCATAGATGAGCCCCATTCAAGAAGAAAATGCATGTATACAGGGAAATGAAGTGATACTGAGCTGAAAATCAAGTTGGCTTTTCGTACGAGTTCTGATCTCTGAACTCAGATATAGCACTTCGTATCATTCCAGCAACGTCGGGATGCACGAAAAAATGGGTGCTATCCAGGACGTGTATTATAAACTTCTGCGATGCCGGCAGCGCAGCATTCATATTCACTATAAACTGTGCCATGGGAATGTCACTGTAAAAATGTAATGGAACAGGAATCCTTCAGCGACAATGCAGACGGAAACTAGATATCCCGACAAACTTGGACTCATGATACCGAAAAATAATGATAAGAACACAAATACGTAAACTTGTCAAAAATGTATATAAACATATAATAACAACTTAAACACAATTAAGACATTAAAATATATATTTATATACATGTGTGTGTGTGAAGACAATACAAATATATGATAAACAATCAAGTTACTTTCATTATTACATCAATGGATAGTAATAAGTGACAACGTCAAACAAGTAATAGAATCACCATGCTACGATCTTTAGACAGAATAGTAACGATCTCTGTTAGAAACTCCAATTAATCATATGATTCCGAGCAACAAACCAAGGTTTTAGAAAGCACAGTTCTTATAGCTCTTTTGATGAATGTTAGACCTTCAAAATGAACCTGATGTTTCCATTTAAAACTAGATTACCCTTGCCCCAACTGGCTAGATGTAGACACTGACTCATACGAGGGCAAAGAAACAAGAAGCAACAATTGAACATTGAACCTTAAAATATATCTGTCAAGCATAAATAGCTATCTTACCAGGAAATGAACAGTCCTTTAGTAGCATTGACCATGATGAACCAACAACCGTAAAATCTGTAACTGCAACACAGTCACACAGACACTACAGAGTAAAAGGAAAGCATAGTTATATCATACATGCTGAATTTCATGTTAAAATTAGAGGGGACTAAAGTATCCTATCCATTTCCAAGCCGAGTTTTTTCTCAGGCATTGGCTGAAAAACCAGAAGCATCAGATCCATGGTCCCTATTTCTAAATACCCTTTTCTTATGTTATCGTATCACACAGTTGAGCATACAAATCCAAAGGAGCTGTTTGCACCAAACGACAGTTGCAAAGCCCCATATCTATAATAAACCTGAGCATGGATCAAACCTCCAAAATTTACACTCAGCTATAGCTCAATGCTTTTAAATCAGGTGATATAGCATGTGTGGTTTGGGCATTTTAACATAAAGATTATAGGCATCTCAAGTAAACAATAAAAGGAAACTAAATATGATTGCCCTATAAAATAAAAAACAACGGAATTCACTGTTTCAGATTAATTCAGCAATTTCATTGGATCAATTACCGAGATAATCCTAACACAAGGGATGGAACCCTTTCCAAATATCAACAACAATATCGTCAATGTGAAAACCAATAAAGAGAAGAAAAAAATCCTTTTCGTTAGCAACATATACAAATATAATTCTCACAAAGTCGATTCAAAAGACATACCTGAATCAGACAGAACCCAGAGACTGATTTTGAAACCTAAAAATTTTGCCTTTAAAGAACTGTCCTCCTATCGTTTAGATTTGGTTCCAGTTAAGTAACCCGTCTGTTGTAGCTTAAATGTTTCTTAAGGGTAGAAATACCTCTTAGGTCCCTCTTAATTTATAATTGGGCAAATTAGCCCTTCTAAGAAGAAAGAAGTGTGATTTAAACCAGTCAAATTCGAAAATGAGCAGTTAAAACAATTAATCACCGCTGTAATGTTTCATCAATTTTACATAATTTTTATTAGGTTTTGTATTTAGTCACCCATTTATTCCTACGTTTGTGTTTTGGTCACGTATTGTTAAAAAAATTTAACGACGACGCTAACCTAATAATTTTTAATATTATATTTAATTTACACATTATTTTATTTGTGATCGTCAGCAACCCAATGGCAATTTAAAAAACTAATTCTAACAGAAGAATGCAAGATTCATTCACTAGTTAAATTAGAGGTTGAAAAGGCCCTTTGTTTGAACAATACAAGCACAAGGGTACACAAATACCAGATGCCTGGAAAGTTAATACATATTTAACTAAAATCAACTGAAATTCTCACAATCATACAGCTTTGGAATTTATAATATATCAGTTTACAACAGACACAAGTCGAAATAAGATCAAGAAATAAACAGCCAGTATCCAATGCAAGGCAGCAGTTTGAGAAACAATTGCTTCAAGTTAAGAAAGCCGTCGTCTCCGACTAATCTTCCATATCATCCAATGTTGACCAGATCATCCTATCAAATACATATAAAAGTTTCCATGTTAGGAGCTACTAGAATAAAAGGTACATGCTTAAAGGGAGGACCATGTGTGCCATTGGAAACAACAAATTACCAGAATATGGAGAAAAAGAGGAGAACGACCACGTAGCCAAGCTTAAAAAGGCGCTGCTTCTTCTCCCAGGGAAGTGTGTTAAATATCTCCGTAACATCTGCTAGGTGTTTTTTCTGCGTGTAACTGATAACAAGGGGAAAGCATGTACAATTTCAAAAGCACTCAACAAAATATATAACTTAATAGAGCAATACAATGTTTTTCATTTGCCTGCAGAGTAAACTTCAGATGCCCTGAGAACCTAGACGCTTGTGCCCATGGTTGATATTATAAAGTAATTTTTATCATAATGTAATTCTTGAATCCAACAAACTTGGCAAAAGGGATACACAGAATATTGTTTGGGACTGATGAAATTTATTTGTTACCGAGTTAAACCGAAAGTCAATACTATGTCTGCTAATCAATCCCTCAGGAAGATCACTAAAACATTCTATTGTTTCCATTGATCAATGCAACGCTCAGCAGATGAATCACACTTTTCTTTACAATTAGTAATTAATAGCATGAGTTTTTAACCTAGGAGAGGCTAAAAGGCTAGCTAATAGAGCAAACAATCAATATCCATTCACCACAAGGAGGTTCAGAATACCAGCACATTGTATGTCATAAAACACAAATTTTCCATTTTATGAAGTTCTAATGCTACCATTCCATGATTCATGTCTTCGCACAAGTTAGAAGTTACGAGTCTTAAGAAGACTAAATAGACCAGTCAACCAGATGGGCTTAATTCTACGAAACATAGGGTTGCAAACTTGATACATAAACAGAAGGGAAGGAATTTGAAATTAAACAGTGAATTAAAGCTAGGAAAACTATCATTTGACCCGTTCCTCAAAACAGACTACATTAACAATAAACATTAGAATAAGAAGACGAGAGAAAAACTTACAGTCTCACATTGTAGTATAATATGGAGCACACATGAGTGACATAACCCAATGCCCCGTTAATAGATGGAATACACATAAAACTCCTTGCAGGATAAATTCCGGCAAGACCACTTTGTTTATCCGTGACGAAGAGTCATAAGGATTGATGTAATCGAACTCTAAATCAGCCAAGCACATGAGCTGCAGCAAGTTTTGAAGCTGTTAAATGCCTTCGAACAATCTTCAGATGAATAATAACATCACTAAATAACTTAGCACGGCAACGATTTCTGTTGTTAAGCTTCACAAATTCTTTTATGATTAAACTACAAACCAAAGCCCCAATAATCTAGTTCCTCAAAAGGAAAGGGCAGTGGGATAATATACCACGAATCAGAACTTTAACCCACAAGCTTTTCTCTGATAATTCATACCCCATCCTTTTTTGCCGCAAAATAATCCAGATAAATGCATTCCAAATTCCAACAATACTACACAAAGGCACAGTTTTTAGCATTTATTAAGTGGTTATCTAGCAACTAAATAGAAGAACGAACTAACTAATCAATACCAGCAAGGTAATAGCAAAAGAATCATATAGTTTTAAACCATAAATGGGGGGGGGGTTTAAAAGCAAAATTGCACGAAGACCCAGACAAGGATTCTAGGGTTTATGAGTGAATTTACCTGATAAACAATGAGAACAAGAAGAGCAATGAGAATGAAGAAAGAAATAAGCCATATGAAGATATCTCCCATGCCTCTCTTTATCTATCCCCCCCCCCCTTCTTCCCTTATTTATCGTTTGGGATTTTTGCTCCGGTGGTAACAGGAAGCCCCGAGGACAGCAGAACCGAAACCTGGGTTCGACTGTGCCGAAGGAACGCTGTTGGCTTGACTTGGTCTGAAATTATGAAATATCTGAAAGATCCTACAAAGTACTGTATGACTCTTAACACTTGAAAGGCTAATTATCATAAAAATTATATTAAAATAATAATTATTATTAAAGTTACAAAAATTATATAAGTATCATTAAATTTGTCTAATTATCATAAAATAATCATAGTACATTATAAAATAATAATATATTCTGATATATTCAAAGGCTATTGTCTAACCTGCATAAATTTTTGCACGAACTTGGTATCCGTGGTAAATGAATTGTTGTTATTCTTTGACGACTTGGGTTCGAGCACCATAGATGTTAGGGGTGTAAGAATTCAATGTCGAGAGATTGAGAGTTATCTTTAAACAGATAATACATTGTACTTAGTTTAAATTAATAAAAAAATATGGATAAAATTTTATATTATTTTGAAAAAAATTAATTATTAATTTATAATAATTTATAATTATAATTATTATTTTATAATTTTTAAAAATTCATTATCTAAAATTTTTTCAATATAATTTATTGAATATTTATATACTCTACTTAAAATTTTATTTAAAATTATAATATATAAAAAACACAACACTTCTTAAAAAAAACAACAACACACAAAACACAACATAACACGTACATGTCGCTGTATCCACGAACGTAAATCGTGTGTCTAAATCCAATTCGAGAATCTAAAGTAAAGAAGACTAACATGATAATAAATAAGTGTAATTTTAATAAGTTGTATCCAAATAAGTAAATATATAATATAATAAAAGAAAAGAGAAACAACGAATGTTAGCAATCAACAACCAACATCAAAAGTAATGTCGTTATCGGTTATAAAAATAAAAAAAAGTATAAAATTAAAGAAAAAAGAAAATTAGAATTAAAAAATTCTTTATTAAATAACTGCTATAGTATATCTCTTTGATTTGCTAAATTCTAATTGATTTTTATAATTTTGTTATTATGATGTTTTAGTCTTTTAGATATAATAGAAGAAGCAATTACATTAGTCAAATAACATAATTATGTGATTTTTATACTTTTTGTTATACGGGGTATTAATTATGTCGACTAAATTTATAATGTAATTATAATGAAAATAATCATAAATAAGTGAATATGATTTTAAAAAATTCAAAAATTTAAGCTTTTGATATTAGTGATTAATTTTAAAAATTTATTTATAGACATACATTATTATTTTTAATTTTACATCATTTTAAAATTATAGATACATCATACAGAACCATTAAATGAGTTAAATGTCACCAAGAACATGACTACTGTGAAATATAATTTTTATAACTGGATCAATTGAATTAAAACTCGATAATTTAATTGAATGAATTATTTATTTAACCAAATATCTAAACAAATAATTATTTATTTAAGCATATTTAAATATACAATAATCTCTGATTTTATTTTTAATATTATAGTTAAAATAAACAAATTCAAAATTAATTTATTGGTGTAACTATTATGCTCCACTGTCGACATTTATAAACATCCCCTAGGCTTGTAAACGAACCGAATGCACACGAACGGAGGTATGTTCGTGTTCGTTCATTTTATAAATAAACGAACACGAACATAAACGAACAAAAAAATTATTCATGTTCGTTCATTAAGGAATATAGCTTGTTCATGTTCGTTCATTTAAATGATAAACGAACACAAACGAACGAACATAAACGAACTTAATAAATGAACATAAACGAACAACACAAACATAAAAAACAAACTTATTCGAACAAAACAAATGAATGTAAAAAAAGTAAACAACAAGAATAACAACTTAAAATTCTTTAATATAACATGCAATTTTAGAGTTAATTTGTTCGAATACGACAAAACATATATAAATCATATATAAGCTATATGAACATAATAAAGTTTTAAAGTTAATTTGTTCAACAAAACAATTTTCTTGAAATCCAAACAACTTCAATAATCTTCGTAACATATTTAAATTGCACTCTGTTCGAACATAAATAAAGGAACATAAATGAACATAAATGAACGAACATAAACGAACATATAATCGAACTTTCACGAACGTAAATGAACAAACGAGCCATTTTTTCGTGTTTGCTCATTTAATTAAACGAACATAAAATCTTATTCATGTTCGTTCATTTAATAAATAAACGAACATAAACGAACTTCCCACCGCACGATTCATGAACAATTCATTGAACGTTCAATTCATTTACACGCTACATCCCCTAAATTCTACCGTTGAGGCTGATATATCTGCTTGCTTGAACGGTCAAAACCGTAGAAAAGCTTATTTTATCTACCTGTTAGCAAAAATAGTAATCAGCCAATCACCTTTTACTTTACATCGAATTATGTCACTTCACAATTTGATCCGGTTTCGATTTCTTTTATATGAAAT